CAATGGCTACCCTCGTAGTACCGTACTAAGGTTAAGGCTGCCCTCGTGGTACAGTACTGTGAGGAAAGCACTGATGGGTACTGGGGACTTGCCCTCATTCTGCCATCAACCAGTTATGTGACCTTGTGAAAATCCCTAAACCTCTCTGAGCCTCAGTTTCCTCATCTTTAAAATGAGATGTTGGAACGAACACGCTCCCTTCCCTAATGTGGCAGTTAATGCAATCTGGAAGTTCACGCAGGAAGGGAGACTAGCGGCATTACCTGTATGAGGCTGGATTCACAGCAAGGCCTCCAGTATCTATACCTCCCCTCCTGCTGTGCATCATGCCAACAGGGTCCGGGGATCCTCTGAGCCCTTTCAGCCTGTGTAGGCTGTCACACAGCTCAGTTCCACATCTTTCATCGTGCCCTCCTTTGTTATATATATGGCCCTATGAGGGCAGTCCTCTGTATTCCTATAGGACTGAGCCTAGGAAAGAGGTTCATTAAATATTTTGCTACGTTCTAGGCCCAACATATCCCCGATGGTTAAAGACTCCGAGGCCAGACATTTCAAAGCAGAGAAAAATTATTCTCTAATTAGGATCTGATTTTTAATTTAAACTTCAACCTGAAGAGCAACCTGAACTGTCTTTTAGTCTTTTCCGGTTTGCTATTCCTAGAAATCCTGTCCAGTGACCTGACCTTGTGGGAATTTTCCATCTTATCTTGTGTTGACTCAGGACAAGACACTTCCTCCCTCTGGGTCTGAGTTTCTTCATCCACAAAATAAAAGAACTGAAGGACATAGGCCCTAGGATCCCCTCTAGCTTTACTACTCTCGCCAGCTGGAGTAATCTGAACTTATTTAGGCCCCCAGGACCTTTTCACCAGCCAAGTACAACCTCCTTGTCCCACTCACCGGGTAAGAAGTTATCTTTGAGATGGATTTCACAGAAGGGGGGCGAAGTGCAGAGAGCTAATGGCCATGATTATAACAGAAACAGGATGGAGAGACCACAAGGTTACAGAATATCCCTTAAGACCTCAGAGCAATAGGAAGCTTTCCCACCTACCAACCCACAGCAAAAGGAAGGTTGACAAGGTGAACCTACTTTCTACTACCTGGGAAATGTAAGTGATTGATACGGACCGAACAGGCTTCAGAGCAAGAATACCTGGGCTCTACCCCGGCCTCACCTCCTATTACTGGTATGATCTTAGGCAAGTGATTTCATCTCTTTGCTCCTCCATTTCTTAACACGATAAATGGGGTTCATTGAAATGTCAATCTCACAAGGTAGTTGTGAGTACCAAAGAGTGTGGTGCATATCAAAGTTCCTCGCAAAACTTTGCTACTGAAAGCATGGTCCAATGAGGTCGGCCTTCACTGAGAGCTTGTTAGAAATGCAGACTCTCAGGCCCCACTCCAGATCACCCATACTGTTGAATCAGAATCTCTGTCTTTAAAAGATCCTCAGGTGATTGGCAGGGATAGGAACGTTTTGGAATTGTTGCAAAACATTACACAGATTCTAATCTTACTTCCTATAAAAATAATTAAGATCATGACACCAATACTCACACATGCACATGTGCGCGCGCACACACACACACACACCCTCCCCTGCAACACCATTTCCTCTTCTCCTTCCGTTGAACTCCTCCACGCCCTGCTCCCCACTTCCTGCAAGCTCACAGTGCCACCATCTGGACAAACAAAGGCAACGCAGATGACTGAGATGTGCAGGGAAGGAGGACACTCAGGGGCCTGGAACACCCAGCAGAGAAGTGGCTTTGTTGGAGGAAGTCAGCCTGTGCTGAATATTATGGTAACCACCAGCCATGTATGGCTACTGAGCACTTGAAATGGGGCTAGTACAAGTTGAGATATGCTGCATATCCAAATGCACTCTGGATTTGACTTACTACAAAAAAAGAATGTAAAATATCACATTATTACCTTTTATATTGATTACATGTTAAAGTGGTATTTTAAACACATTGTGTTAAATAAAATATTTTATTAAAATTAATTTCACGTGTTTCTTTTTACTTGTTTAATATGGCTACTAGAACATTTAAAATGACATGTGTGGCTCACATCATATTTCAACTGGACAGCACTAAAGTAAGCTATGTTTTTTCAGAATATGGGTTCCCAGGGATCTTAATTTCTTCCCCCTAAATATGCCTCTATGAAGAGGCTTTCATTCTGCATCCCAGGAATTCTCCTTCCAGTCCAGTTCTACAAATAGCATCCAACAATCCTGCCGAGCTTGAGCACAATTCTTTCAGGTATCACCAGCTCCAGAAGAGAGCCTGGTACATAGCAAGTGTGCAATAAATATCTGCAGAATGAACGAATAAATGAGTGAGCGAATGAAGTGCCCTCAGTAGGAGGACACCTCGTACTTGGTGGGTGGGTCTCTTTTTAGAAGCGACCAAGTCATAAGTCCCTCAGAAGAAAAGTTGGTAAATTACAGGGGCCAATCAAATCAGACACACCATTTCTTATTTTCAAAATTGAGGCCTGATTACAAAGCAATACAGCAAGTTTTCTTAAGGTTCTCCCACACCAGCCCCATTTACATGTTGTAAGTTTGTCCTATAAGCTGGGTGGCCTTGAAAGTCCCAGAGCCTCAGGTCCCTTCCTCACAGCCACACCTCCCCCATCAGCACTTTCCTTTTGCCACCACTTAACGGCTTTCCAAGCAGTTTCTTGCCTGTTTGCTTGATTGATTTTCACAAGCGCTATCAAGAAAGCTAGATAGTATGATTTCTTACCACTTATTTACAAATGATAAGTCAGCTGATCATTCCTTTTGAAAAGTAATTAATGACAAGGCCAGGACTGGAGCCTTTCTCTCCACCATCTACCGAATGTCTTATCCGACACATCATGTGGTTATCCAAGGATTCACTGGCAGTTTTACAGTTTCTAGTTTTTCTGGGTATGCATATTCTTTAAGAGCACTTGACGGGTTGCCTGGATTTTCAGTCTTTCTGGACCGCCGTCTTCTCCTCTATAAACTGGGAGAAGAGAACTAAATAATCTCCAACTTCCTTTCTAAAGCTAAAACCATATAGGTCTCTGAAACCTGGCTGTACACGCACCAAAGGCAGAAGCCTCGGGTTTTATTTCCTTTGCATCTCTCCTGCAGCATTTCACACACAGAGTACTTAAAGGAGTTTGGCTGGCTTTGCCTTGCAGAAGAAGAGAACTGAGATGTCCCTGGCCCTCACAGAGCCCAGTTATGCACACGCATGTGCACACACGCACACACACCCCACCAGCTTCTCTAGGAAGGAAAAGGAGATAGGAGATAGAGAAGAACCATGGAGAGCAGAGGCGGCAGATGGAGGCATTCCTCCCGAGAGGAAAGTTCCCAGGAGACAGGGAGGTAGGAAAAAGAGAGTGGAGACACTGAAGCTGGCTGGGCCAAAGCTGCTCAGAGGATCCACATCTCAGATTTCATCTTCACGAAATATTCAGTGAGTGCATCCCAGAGCTCCCATGGGTGGCAGAGGCTGCTCTTCCTGGGCATTTCTCTCTGCATTGGGATCCTGGGTCCACATGTCCCTGTGCCTCTCCTGTTCCACCACCCTCATCTTGTTTTTCTCGTAGTGTTGCTGGCACTGGGCCTCTGTGCTTTGCTCCCTTCTAACTCTCCATCTGCCTCCCCAGTGGTCTTTCTCAGCATCTGTCCACCCTCTCACTTCTATGCCTACCTCTCTCTCTGCCACTGTCACCCCACCCAAGGGTGAGGATGCTCCCCTTTGAGGGCACCCCAGTGACGTGGGCTTCCATAGCTGTCTTCTGCTGTGCCCTCCACAGTGCCACATGCCTGAGCACGGAGAACCCTCAGGACTATGGGAATGAGAAGCCCTGTGCAAAAGAAGAGCTAGACCCACCAGGATGCCAAGATGGTAGGGGCTGGGGTAGAGTTGAGGAGTGGGGAACAGAAAAACAGCTCTGGGGGAAGATGCTGGCTTTATGAGACACCTGGGCTGGGCTAGGGCTCAGAAGCTCCCTAATGGGAGAAGAGCACTGTCAGGGGTCCACTTGGGCCCCTGTGGGATCATGGGTGACCCACAGCTCCTGGAAACTAAGTCTTAGTCCTAATTACTGCTTGGCTGTCCCCTGACAGGTAGTCTCTGTCCCAACTCACCACCTGCTCCCTGTCCCCCGGGAACTTTCCTCTCCGGAGCAGGACCCCACAACGCCTCCTTCTGCCACCTCTGCCCTCCCGGGTTCTTCAACCCCTGGCCCGGCCAGGATGCCTGTTTCCCCTGTGGCTCAGAGGCCACCCAACCGGAGAAGGGCAAGGACACGTGTGTCTGCCGGGGGCCTGGGCGAGTGTTCCAGGTATGTCCTCTGGCAGGGGGGCCCAAGGACAAGCTGCATTTCCAGGACTGTTTTGGTATTAAGTCAAACTCAGCTCAGGTGTAACATGACCAGGGTTGGCTCAGGTTTCCAAGTGACTTGGCATAGGGTTGCCAGATAAAACACAGGGCACCCAGTTAAACTTGAATTTCAGATAAATAACAAACTTTTTTTTAGTATTGCATGGGACATACTTATACCAAAAAAAAAAAAATCTTTGTGTATCTAAAATTCAAATTTAACTGGGTGCCCTGTGTTTTCATTTGCTAAATCTGGCTCCCCTTCTCCAAGAAAATGACACACTTTACGTTGTTCTTTGCCACGATCACTTCCAAAACACATCCTGGCCCAAGCCCCTCCAACTTGAATGTTCTCTGTAAGCCAACAAATGTGTGTGTGAATTCTTCCTTTGCTGAATGTCTCAAGTCTCTTTTTTTATTGAAATGGTAACGCCGGCCACACCCTTACCTGAACAGGCTGGTCTCCTTCCCCTGACTCCTCCCCTGCCCTGTTTATTGCTCATTTCCCCTCCCCTGCCCTTGTCTTCTGGCCCATTTCCAAAAGGGTCACAGCCAAAAACCTGTGCATGGTTCACCGCAACCAAGTATTAACCAACCAACATGAACCAGCACTCCTCCCTCCCCCCGCCACCCCCAGCCCAGTGACAGTCAGTGCCCCTGCCTCCCTGGCCACCAAGACGTTGGAGAGCCAGTGGGCTATGTCCAGTGGGAACACAGGAGCTGCAAGCACGGAGCCACCTGGAACCAGGAGGGACTATGTTTGACCAAGGCTCAGTGGAATGACCACTGTGCCCATGAGGTAGGAGAATGTCCATCTATTATGCCCTTGGCCTCTTGCCCCTCCACCCTCCCATTCAAATGCCCACCCTTCCCGCCACTAGGATCATTCCATTGGCTCCTCTCTGGAAATATAGAGGTCAGTACTTTGCACTCTCAGGCAGTTCGTAAAAGCAGCTGGAGAGAATGAGGAAGACCTTCCCCAGGGAGGAGTCTCCAAGAAGTGTGAGTCTTTGTGCAGGTGTGTGCCACACCAGGAGATGCCCATGGACATGACCCAAGCCTGGGGCTCTGCCTGTGCTGGAGACAACAGTCAAGCGGAATGTGCAGCCCTCTATGCCCAGAGAGACAGAGACACATCTTGCAGCTCAGCTGCACTGATGGCATCCCACAGATTTCTGTCACTGAAGGCATGGGGAGCCAGGTACAGTACTCTGAGGTCCAACCTCATGCAGAGCCCGGGCCTGTGACTTCTGTCTCCAAAGAGGGAACATGCAGGATGTGCCTGTGTGCAGGGCCCAGGGGCTGCTGCTTCCTGGCCCACATCACTGGCACAACCTCTCCAACATCAGAGGCTGAGAACCAGAGCAAGGCCCCTTTGTTGATTTCATTTCATCCTACAAAACTCCTTGAAGAAGAGGTCATTGTGTTCATTAAAGAGGAGGGACACTGTCCAAGAGGTCATGACTCCAGGCTGCCCCTGTTCCGCGGAGTTCTTGGAACTATTCCCACCCCCACCTCCCCTGTGTCCTTTCAGGACACTCAGACACAGCTCATAGGAGGGGCTGTTTTCACCTTCCCTTCCTACTGGGCAAGTGTGTGACTCTGTCTCTTGAGGGAAGATCTGACACTGGCTCTTTTTGTTTCCAGGATTTTTACCTTCTGGACCAGCCTTCCCCACCACGTGCTGTGGGCCATCCCTGCAACTTGGACCTAGGGCAGAAGTCTGTCCCCCTCTATGTGATCAAGATGGATGGTAAGAGAGCTGGACAGATGGAGGCCACAGGGAGGCCTGCAGCTCGGGACCACACACATGCAACCCTTGTCCTTAACAGGGCGTGTGTCTGTCTTTACCAGGGCGTGTGACCAGAAGATGGGGTTTGATGGGGCAACCACTACCCCAGGGAGGGCTTCCCAAGAAGTGCATGCAAATTCTGACCCCTCTCAATTTTTCAGAAAGTTGAAGCTAACATGTGCAAACCAGGCTGAACAGCTGCTGATTGTATACATGCTCTTGGGAAAACTCTTATCCCGGTCCCTGCAGGGTCAGAGGGATCCCTGCCTTGTTCTAGGGCTTGGCTTCCTGGGCCTGACCAGACCAGGTGGTGAGCTACTACACTCCCTAGGCCTTCCCCTCGGGGATCCCAGGCATCCAGACCAGGATCCAGGTGGGCATCGCAGCTCACCTGTTGCCCCTCCTATCCCTCCCCTACCCTTCCCAGGTCCCAGCACTAACCCATCTGAAGAGTGGCGGCTCTCCCTCATTCTCTGAATCTTACCTAGGAAAGTCTAGGGAAGGACATCTGGCCTCTTCTTGGTCATTGAGCCTCAACTCCACACATCTTGAGGATCTGCTGCCCCCAGAGCCAGGCATCCGAAACCCCACAGTCTGCCTCCGAGCCAATGATACCCTGGCCTTCCTGGTGACTCATGAGCATTACCCAGAGTATGACCTGTGAGTGTCCAGAGACCACAGCCCCATCATCACAGAGGCCCTAGAGAGGAAATGCCCCGGCATCAGCTGCCACTCCCAAAGGCAACGTATTCCCTCCTTTCTCTCTCCCCAGTGGTCATTTCTATAACACACTGGAGCAATTTGACTGGGGGCGCTTCCGGGCCCCGGCTGAGGAGTCCCAGCTCTATGAACACAGCCTCAGCCTCTTCCTGCAGCAGTTCCAGCACCCGGGCATTTACGTCTTTCGTCTGAGCAGCAACCGACATCGGAAGATGGTTTGTCTAGGATAATTTGCCTCATTTAAGACATTATCCCATTATTTCCCCTCTCTTTAAAAAATACTGCTGCAGGCCGGGCGTGGTGGCTCACACCTGTAATCCCAGCTCTTTGGGAGGCTGAGGCAGGCAGATCACCTGAGGTCGGGAGTTCAAGACCAGCCTGACTAACATGGAGAAACCCCATCTCTACTAAAAATACAAAATTAGCCAGGCACTGTGGCACATGCCTGTAATTCCAGCTACTTGGGAGGCTGAGGCAGGAGAATCACTTGAACCCGGGAGGTGGAGGTTGCAGTGAGCCAAGGTCGCGCCACTGCACTCCAGCCTGGGCCACAAGAGTGAAACTCTGTCTCAACAAAAAATAAATACTGCCTCATAACCAGCTAAGACAGATCTGCAGGGAAGGAGATGCCCTGAGGTCCCTGTCAGTTTCAGGGTCCTGCAGTGCTGACAGGTGGTCCTGGGGATGCCAAGGTTCATTCCACAGCAGCCCAGCATGTGCTGTGTAAGGAGGGGAAGGTTGGGAGGATGGGAACACAAGTGTGTATTCAGGCACATCAATGGCATTGAGCGGCTTAGGACCTCTAGCTATCTCTCCCAACCCTCCACTTTGTCTCCCCCACTGCCATCTCCCAAGCCCACCCACATATGGTTTTATCCGTGTGACCTGCACATTGCACCACCACTGATTCAGGTGTGCTGTTTGTGCCACACACAGCATTTAGTATCTCCCTATCAGCACAACGTCCAAGAGGTTGTACTGGCTTAGTCCCAGAACATGCACACAGCTCCCTCACACAAATAGTCATCTGATGTGAGTCATCTGATGTGAATAAGTTTCCCAGGAAAACTCTGATTCTGCCTCCCAGCCCCCAGGTTTACACAATCATCCAACTATTTGATGGGTGTTGGCCAGCGTGGGTCCCACTCTGTCTCCTGGCCAGTCTCTGGCGGACAGTGGGACAAAGACTGAACAGATTTCTTTCTACCCAGTATGTCCGCGCCCTCCCGCCAGGGGGCCAGTGCTTCGGGGAAGGGCCCTTTGCCTCCACGACTCCCAGGTATCTCATCCAGACTGGCATCGCCAGGATCCCCCGGCCCCTGAAGAGGTCTGGCTGGCTAGGACTCCTGGGGGAGATTGTGCTGCTGCTGGGGCTTTGCCTGTTTCTAATGGTGAGTAAAGCCAGGCAAGAGACATCTTAACCACTCCACAAGATCGCCTCTCCAATCCCCTGTAAGTGGGTCTTCCAGCCCCATTTATGACAAGCATTCTAATAGTTGCTAAGATGCAAAGGTGACGAAGGTGCAGTTGCAAGCCTCCAGGGCTTGAAACAAATACACGTCAGCAAATATAATGCAGCTAGCTAAAGTGTGTCCAGGGTGCCGCACTAAGGCAGGAGTTGACCGTTCTCCCTGGAGGGGGTGGGGTCGGGACAGACTTTCCGGAAGAGTTGATTCCTGAGTGAGGTTTGAAATAGGAGAATTATTTAATATAACGTGGTCCGTGTACTACAAGAGGGTTGGTGAGTTGAGGAGGAGGGGTTATGCACTGGGGAGGAGGGACAGAGATGAGAAGGGGAGTATTGTGGGCACAGCAAGGACATAGGCATGAAACAACACGCATGTTCTCTGACAACCAAATGGGGTTTCCCATGACTGGAGCTGAGGTGTGAGGACAAGGATAAGGCTGGAACTGGGAGGAAGACTAAAATGGGACGGTCTCCAGGCCCTGCTAAGAAGTTTGGACTCTAACCCCTAGGCAGGGGATAACAATTTTCAGCAAGTGAGAAAACCTGGTCTGCCTTTTATTTGTACTCCAGCCTAGTACTCTAGGGTGGAGGACAGAGATGGATCAGAGGACAAAAAACAACAGAGACCTAAACGATTAGTCCAAGCAAGAGAGGATGAGGTGCTCCCTAACCACAGTGAAGTGCGAGCTGCCTCCTTTCAGAGTCTTTAGGAAGGATGCCGCTCCCTCGGCTCGCCCTTCCCTTCCCACTCCCCATTATGTACTCCGTAGATTCAGTGTCATAGCCTGAGCTGGGCTCGGAAGGCTGCTCCCCACCCCACCTTCAGGAGACATCAGCAAGAATACAACCTTGATGCCTACACTTCCCCAAGAACTAGGATAATGTCAATGAGGAGAGGCCGATCTCACCAAGACTCTGATGCCCCAAGGGTTGAGGGGGGTCCTGGTGAGTGATAGGTAGGCTAGAATCCCAGAGGTACCCCCAAATCCAACTGGCCAGCTCCTGCTTCTTTTTTCCATCTTCCACGATTGCTCAATGCTCAATTCCTCTTCATTCATCCACTGATTTGCTCAAAAAATCTTTACTGAGTGGCTACTGTATGTCAGACACTGCCAGGTACTAGGCATAAGCAATATAGAGGAGGAAAGAGACATCTAAACACACTTTCCAAAAGAAACATAGTATAACCGCGTACAAAGTGGCCAAGTGACACAGTGACCAGTACTACCTAGAGGAGCAAGTTGCAGAAGGTATTTATTGTATGTCACGCTGAGGGGTTCCCCTTCTGTCCTTGCTCCTCACAGCATGGTCCTCAGACAGCAGCACCGGGATGTGTTTGTGCTCCGAGAACTTTAACAAGCATATGAATTTCCCGGGGACCTTCTGCTTCAGTAGGTCTGGGATGCGGCCTGAGACTCTGCATTTCTACCAAGTTCCTCAGTAGCACTGATGCTCCTTACCCAAAAACTACACTTTCAGTAGCAAGACTGTGCCTGGATTGTTGAGGCTCTATAGGAAGATGCTTGGAAGATCTGTAGGGAAGCTCATATTTGCATCTCAGGAGGATAATCCTGCTTCCCCGCCCCCCGACCCCCACAGGTGGGAGCTGGGAGGCTGAGGAGCAGGTAGACCCGGAGTGGTTTGACACAGAGGCCTTCTTTGGAATCCTCCTCAGGCAGTCTCTGTCAGTGACAGCCAAACTCAGCCAGACCAACGAAGAGGTAACTGGCAGCTCCAGGCAACACTTCTACCCGAGACTGGAGAAACACGTGGGGCTGGAAAGAGTCTCCTCTTCAGGAGAGTTGGTTATGGGACATAGAGTCCAAAGAAATCCTCAGTCTATCAACTCCTTAAGAAATCAGAATAAAGGGTATATGGGAAGGGGAGACAGAAGATCAGATTAAATTGAGGACTGATCCCATGAAACCTAGGGCTTCAGACCAATGATAGGGAATCTACCAAGGCCACCACTGGAGTTCCTCCTCAGATCTCCATCCCGAGTCCTCGATAGCCCAACTGGGTAAGCACATTTATGCCAGTAGACGACAGGCATTAGAAGCAAAAAGAATACACTAGAAGTCCAAGTACCAAAACTGGGCCAGGGTTTCCCCAGCAGAATGTGCGTGCCGAGACTGGCTGGGACGAGCCTGTGTCCGTCTTCATTCATTCCTTCCAAGTGTCTGGGTTGGGGGTTGGGGGATGGGGCTCTGGAGTCTCTGCAGCTGTTGGCAGCAGGGAGCGCTGCAATCACAACAGTGAGAGGCTGGGTGGCTCCTGGAACAGAGTTCACACACGCTCAATCCACCCTCTCTGGCAGCTCAAACTCCTCTACCTTAAACTTCTGCGTGAAGCCCGTTCTCTGCAGCAGCTGTGGGGAGCAAGGCGCAGCCTCCCAGCCTCCACTAACCGGCTTCTGGGGAGCGTGCGGAGGGAGCAGCAGCAGGTGGGCTTGGTTCACGCCTTCCTCTCTGGTCTGTGTGCCCAAAGACAACTCCCTCCCCTCACTGAGGTCCAGGCTCCCTCCCTTAGCACCTCCCCAACCTGTTCCATCTCCCTGGCCCGAAGGCTTTTAGCTCCAGTTCCCACCATCCCTGGGAATTTCTCACCCACTTTGCCACTGCTGCCATGCCTGCCCAGAATAACTCTGGAGTTCCCAGGGTGAGCGGGGTGTCCCTGAGATTGCTGTCCCTGGTGGCTGTAGCACCTGCAGGTGGGCAGGCAGGGTTGTCTCTGACCCAGGCTGCTGAGGCAGCTATCAGGGCCGCAGAGGAGGAGGCCAGCCGGAGGAGGCACATGGCAGGCGAGTACGCAGCCAACCTTCGTCACCAACTCAAGCTCCTTCACCAAGACCTCCTCGAGAGGCAGGAACAGTGGGCCTCTTTCTGCTCAGCGCTGATGGAGGCTCAGCAGCTGCTGAAAGCACGGACGGGCTCCAGGTCAGATAAGCCCTCTCCGGCTGGGCAGAACTCAGAAGGGTGTGGACCTGCCAACCTGGGTCAGACAGGGAGACATGAAATGGGGAGGAGTGAGTGTGGCCGCATGAGGTCCCAGAACTGGCCAAAACGTCCTTTTCCCACCCCTGATTGCTCTTGTGCCCCTGCAGGGCAGTTCCCCAGCTGGACACCGTGCTGGGCCACCTGTCCCAGGTCGTGCTGCAGGAGGGCCACCGCCTGAAGGCCTGGGGCATTCTGGGCACCGGCACTGGGGCGGAGCTACTGTGGCCAGGTGAGCTCTGCTTGGGCCTCAGCCAGGGCCTCCCAGGAAACCTGGCCCTGAATCAAGGTGACCAGCCCTGTAGAAACTCCAGTTCCACCCCCAGACACCCAGCAGGGGAGGATAGGTAGAAGAGGGCAAAACAGAGCAGACACCCCAAGGTTGGGAGGGGCTTCCCGTGCAGTGCCTGCCCAAAAGAAGGAGCCTCGAATGTGGGAAGAACCAAGGAGGAAACAAAGCCATGGCAAGTCATAGCTTTACAGATCTGGTGGCACTTCCTGAAAGAAAAGCCTGGCAGATGAAGGCAAACGGCCAAGTTTGGGAAATGATGAACTTGCCTTGGGGACTTGCAGGCCTGCTGAGTCCTGGGAGTCCTATAGCCCCCCATAGGCTGGCACCACCATTTCCCAAGGCTCTTCCAGTCTCTGCTGGCCTGCACAATGATACCACAATGACACGTAGAATCCTGCTCTGGACTCAGCAAAGATGAGACCCCTGCCCCTCAGGGGCACAATGTCCGTGGGGATTGGGGGGGAGCTGGTTCTCACCAGCTCCTTCCAGTCACCAGCCAAGGGAGTCCCTGCATGTTCCCTTCCCCCCATTCCCCAGCCCCCAGCCCAGGGCTGAGCAGGCAATGCTTGCTTTCCTGCAGCCCCAGCAGGCCCTCCTGGTGCTGATGACATCAGTGTGAATCCCGTCACCAAGTTGATGGTCCCTGGCCCCAACTGCTTGATGCTTCCAGCCAGCGGCCACGCAGGCTCCATACCCTCTGGCTACTTCATCCACCCCGACACTGGGCGGGTGCTGCCCGAGGCTGGACACCTGGGATATGATCTGCTGTGAGCTACCCTGGTGCCCACTACAGACTCCAATGCTGGTGAGCCCCTGGCCCACTGACTATCCCCAACTCAGCTCTGGGCTTCAGAGATGAGGCAGGGCTTGCTGGGACTCTCAGGAATGAGCTCCCAGGGAGGACAGCACAGGAAGCAGGGCTCTCTCCTTGGACAGTGGGGCTTGGTGACCAGCAGAGTAGTAAATACTTCCTTCCCCTCCTCACCTTGACATTCTTGCTGAATGCAGAGGATGCCATGAGCTGCACAGTAAAATGAGGCAAGTCCCAAAGCCCCTCTGTCCCTGCTCTGCAGGGCTAAGGAGGGAGGCTGGTGCATTAAGGGTACCAACAGCTCCCTGTATCCCTGTATCCCTGTATCCCTCTCCAGGTGGCATCCAAACATCAGAAGCTGCCATCCTGCCCTATGTGCCCTACCCAATCAGTCCCACCACAGGTTCCCCTCCAGCCACGCACCTGCCCATCCTGCAGCCAAGAAGGACGTCCCCGCTGGGGGCTCTCATGACAGATCCCATCACAGGCATTGAGGTGCCTGTGCTGGCTGTGACTCTGCACCCCCAAACGAGGCAGTGGCTCACTCTTAGGGGGACATACTGCAATCCTCTCACCAAGACCTTGGCCCCTCTGGAGATGGGGGGTCCCATGGAGGATCCAGTCACAGGAGGCATCTCGCCCATCCTGGGAGTCGGGTTGGATGAAAACACAGGTCTCCCGGCAGCCCTTGGCGATGTCCTCCCTTGCCTTCCTCCATGCCTGGCCTGGCCTCCCAGTCCCCTTCCTCTGAGCCCCCTACGCTCTCCATGTTCTGGTCTGAGCCACAAACTCCACCCACCACCCTCTTTCCACCCTTCATCCTCACTCTGCCTCTTACCCCCAACCTTCCCTCTCCCCTTCCCCATCTCTACTCCAGTGCCCCTGGGGAGCGGAAGAGATGCAAGGTAGTTCCATAAAGTTAATGGACACTTTTCAACCAAAAAGGACCATTCCTCCACCTGTCACCACCATGCTTCACCCCCTGCCCTCTTCCTCACCCCCTCCTCCTTCCCTCCCACAGCTCACCTCCACCCTTGTGCCCTAATTCCCCTTATGCCACGCCTGCCTACATCCCTGCTGTGTCCCGCTCCTACCTTGCCCTCTTGGTGTCTTGCTTCCAGGTCAGCTGCTTGTACTGGGAGGGCTGCGAGATGCTTCGGGGAACCTCATGCTGCCTGGTGACAGCTTTGTGGAGCCACTGAGCGGGAAGACAGTCCAGCTCCAGGAGGCTTCCCGACGAGAGGGCCAGACATTGCCCCATATGGGAGGGTCACAGGCCGTGCTGGACACCAATGTGCTGGTGGCCCAGAGGCAAGTGATTGCAGTGCTCCAGCAGTGCCAGGGGAGTCCAGAGTCAGATGTACAGAGGCCTCTGGAGGCTGCCATCAAGGACATGAGACAGGCACTGGCCTTGAGTCTGCACCACATCCTGCAGCAGGCTCGGAGGCTGGAGAGGCAGCTGGCAGCAGCGGATGACACTGAAGCCAGTGGTGGCAGGATAGGTATGGACAAATCTGGGCCAGAGGCTCTCAGGCCCCGATATCTCAGGCCCAGAATTACCTGGTGCTTCGATGCTCCTCGGCTCGTAAGCTCAGGGACAGGGCTGCAGCCCCAGTGGTCATGCACATGCATGACCAAGGGAAGAGAGAAGGAACTCCATGACTTCATGCCCTGACTCCATGAGTGCTTGACTGCATCCCTGTCTTAATTTCTTGCCAATGCCATTGAGTTTATGTTACAGAGCATACATTCTCTTGTTACCTCACGGTTCACAAAACACCACCAACAGGTGCTATGACACCCATTTTAGAGTGGGGAACCTGATGCTCAGAGAGTTAAATGAGTTGCCCAACCGGGGTCCTCTAGCTAATTAGCTGCAAAGCCCGGCCAAAAGCCTGAATCTCCTGAGTCCTCAATCCCTTCTCACCTTCATTCTGCAGCAATCTTTCACTTCCCACGAATGAACGCAAGAAAGGAGCCCATCCCACAACTCCACCTCCCCCACAGCCCTGGTACAAGGAAAGGCAAGGAGAAGTAGGAGTGGCATCTTCCTGGAGTTTATCTCACTCTTTCTAGAAATTGCCCTCTTCCCACAAATAGCAACAACAACAACAAAAGAACCAGGTCAGAATTGACTTGAGTTTGAAGATCTGCCCCACAGTTTATTAACTCTTTGACTTTGGGCAAGTTATTAGTACTAACCCCTCCCTGCCACTGTTTTACCATCATTTAAAAGGAAGAGTAAAATTGTGCATAGTGGCTGGGTGCAGTGGCTCACGCCTGTAATCCCAGCACTTTGGGAGGTTGAGGCAGGTGGATTGCTTGAGGTCAGGAGTTCAAGACCAGCCTGATCAATATGGTGAAACCCTGTCTCTACTAAAAATACAAAAAATAGCCAGGCATGGTGGTGGGAGCCTGTAATCCCAGCTACTTGGGAGGCTGAGGCAGGAGAATCACTTGAACCCAGGAGGTGGAGGTTGCAATGAGCTGAGATCACGTCATTGTACTCCAGCCTGGGTGACAGGCTTTATAGCTTAGGTTGCAGGACTGAGTGAAATACAGCTTCTCTGGAGTTCTGAGTTCAGATTCTGATCAATGGCAGGTGCTCAAGAACACAAGCCCCCTTCTTTGAGAAGTTGTTCTCAGCTTCTCAAAAAGTCTGATGCCACTCAATTCCCACTTGCTTCTTCCAAAACAGGCCATTAAGGCATTGTCCTTTCTTCCCTTCTGAATTCCGAATGCTAAGTTGGGCCCAAAGGAAACAAATGCAGTCTTTGCAGGGAAGCCTCTCTGGTCAGGGACATAGCACTTCGAACTTGGAAAGACTTCAGAGTGGTGCTTAACCCTCAATCCTCCTCTTTACTCACCCTCCCCCTGGTGTTAGGAATGATGCGCTATCCCGGGACAGAGCTGTGGGTCCCAGCCCTGTATGGAATGGAGATCCCAGATCCTGAGGGCTCGGGGCTCATGGTGCCTATCCTGGGCATGGAGCATGATGAGAATTCTGGCGATGACATACCCCTGGCAGGCTCAATGGAAGACGCTGATGGCAAAGGTAGGAGAGAATTTGGGACCTCTGAGAGCTCAGGAATGTGACTTAGGTCTGGGAGACAAAACCCTGTAAAGCTCAGGAGGGGTACCCATGAGCCAAGGAAAGGCGTCATTCTGAGCTTCTGCTAGGGCTGCTGAGACCCAAAATTAAAGGTGCCCAGAGATTCCAAAACCCCAGGACCATAAATCAGGTATGCCTCCCCTAGAAAATTGGGTCCTTTCAAAGACCAGCACTTCAGAAACTCACCACCCACCCCCACGCCAGGGCTGTGGCCACCAGGAGCCCTATAACCCAGCTTAGAGCCCCTTGAAGGGTAAAAGGAGGTCAGGGGCTCTTCTTGCTTCCTTTTTGCCATGTATCTTTCTTCCTATGACTGCCCCTTCTTTCCTTCCCCATCTCTGGTTTCTAAAGCCAGTGGTGGGCTTGGCATCCCACAGGTCTAATCCCAATCTCGATTGGGGCTCAGGCCATAGACCCCTGGACTGGGAAGCCTGGTCCCGTCATTGGAGCTCAAATGGATCCCTCTGCCAGAGTGGTGGTGCCCATTGTCCAGGTGCTGGAGGCGTTACCTCGGGGAGTGAGAGACCCTGGTCTGGTATGTAGGGGGGTTTATTGTATTCATTTATTCATTCATTCATTCATTCACTCAGCAACTACATATTGAGAGCTGTGTTCCAGGCAACATGTTAGGCATTGAGATACAAGGACAACTAGATAGGGCTCCCAGGAAACTGGCTGGCCATGCGTCCCCAACACAGTGGGTGGTTTACAAGGGTATTAAGAAAGCTCAAGGGAGGGCATCTCAACACACAGAGGAGAGCTCAAGGTTTCCCAAATGAGGTAATGCAGGCAGCAGAGAGACAGCAGAGAAAGTCACTCCAGCCTCAGGGAAAGCAAATGCAAAGGCAGCAAGTATGAGAAATGTGTCTTCTATCATGAAAGCCACGGGGAGCTGCTGAAGGGTTCTCAGACACGGGATATAATCAAATATAAATGCGAGACTTTAAATATTGGAAAATATGAAACAATACAAAATGTAAGTTACTCATACATTTTTAAAGTATGTCAATGAAGAAGCAAAAGCTTTCCTGCCCATTCCTCTCCCTCCATCCACAGTCAACACCCCCATGGCATCCCCATCTAGGCACTCCTTACCTCTCCCCCAATCTCTCCCACCAAACCCAGCCACTTCACAATTTGGCACACCTCCTCCCATTTATTTTTATGTTTATGTATGTGTATGTACAGTCAGCATTCTAGAAAGCTCTCCCTGGCAGCTGGGGCCAGACTGGCGCAGGAAGCCCCGTCAGGAGGTTATTGCAGTAATTCAGCCATTGGCAGATCTCCACCAAAATGAAAATGATTTAGGGCCCCCCATACATTCTCAGTCTAGTTACGTTTCAGAAACTGTGATAAAAGGTATGCGATAAATAAAGGTTCTTGTTAGAAGCCAAGAAATTTCAATTCTAGCCCTGACACCACTGTTTCACAGGTCAGCATGTCTTCACGATATGAGGGGGGTGAGAATAATTTCCTGCCACCATGTGCCTGTCTCCTCTGGACTTCCCAAGAGAAGGGTGGCGGCAGGAGGCACGGGGAACTCTGGAGCAGGTGTCACCAGGAGGGAGGGAGAAACCAGGGAGCTTGAAGAAAATGTATGGTTATTTTTCTAGCTAAAACCACGTTGTTGGGAGGCAGAGGTGAGAGGATCACCTGAGGTCAGCAGGTCAAGACCAGTCTGGCCAACATGGTGAAACCCCATCTCTACAAAAATATTAGCCTGGTGTGGTGGCAGGCACATTTAATCCCAGCTACTCAGGAAGCTAAATCAGGAGAATTGCTTGAACCTGGGAGGCAGAGGTTGCAGTGAGCCGAGATTGCGCCATTGCCCTCCAGCCTTGGTGACAATGCGAGGCTCCGTCTCAAAAAAAATAAAAACAAAAAAAAATAAATAAAACCAAGCTAATGGCCTCACCAAGTTTAGTCATGGATACCCGAGGTCGGGGAGGGCCATTACCCTGTGAAGCTTTGGGGATCTACAGCCAGACCACGTAGGACCATGAACAGAAAAAGCCAGTAAGCCCTAAACAGGCTGGATATTGTAGCTGCACGTCCTGGAGCAGGAGTTGAGAGCCCGGGAGCAGTACTGGTGCCACCAGCAACAGGAGGAAGAGCGGTTACTGGAACACCTGGGGCACCTGAGCCAGGAGCTCCACTTCACGGCAGGAAATGGCACTGAGCAGCAGGTGAGGCCCAGAGGCACCACCTCATGGTCCCCACCCATCTGCCAAGATGGCACATTTTCTTTTTGAAAGTTTGGAGTCCTTTTCTCCCCCAACCATGGGAATGAAACCCATCTCAGAGAAGACGCAGTCCCAAGATTCCCCAGCCCTAGGCCCAAGATTCCAGTCATCCCTAAGTATCGAAGCAGGACGGAGGTAGGGGAGGAGGAGCCAACAAGAGCCCCTCCCAGAGCTCCTGCCTTCCCCTCCGAGGCCCATTCCTTTGTCCCTTCTGTCCTACATAGCTGGGGGCTGCAGAGGAGGCCTGCCGGGCCCTTGAGTCCCGCTGCCTGCAGGAGTCGGAGAGAAGAGCCAGGGCTCTGAGCACACACAGCAGCCCAGAGCGGGGCCTGCTCTCTCAAGGTGGGAAAGCATCTCCTAGGCTCAGATCCCCACAGCAGAAATCTCTGGGGAGTGCATCACCACAGATAGCTGCCCCGTGGGGAGCCTCTCCTGCCCTCTGAATGTGCTCGGCTCTCCTGAGCTCAGCCAGGGCCTGGCTCTTACCTGGCAGGTTCCCCTGACTCCGATAATCTATTGTCTTTTCTTCTCCTCCCTACCCCTGGTGGTGGTCGCTGCCATGTGGCACTTTTCTCTGCCATTTGCAGCAGACAGAGAGGAGTGGGAACAGGAGGCACAGGTGGTGCTGGATGTGCGAAAGTTCCTGCAGAGTTTAGCGCAGGTAGCAGAAAAGCTTAGGCAAGCTGCTCGCCGGCTGCAGGGCCAGGAGGAGGAGACGCGGCTGCAGCAAAGCAGGAATCAGAGCCCACAGGTCTGGAACCGCCCCAGGAAGGTGAGGCTCTGAGGCTGACAAGGGAACCCGCATGTGATGAGTACATCCTCCCATGTCATCAGATGTGGCTCTTCGGGGCAATGTAATATTCAGGGGTAGGTGGGCTCAAGGAACCATGGATATGCCAGAAGGGGAGCGTGGAGAAAGAGAAAGAAGGCTCATCTTAACTTGACCATTATGTTCCCTGTGTTCTAGGTGGTTCAGCGTCTCTCCGATGAGTTTCAGGGGGTGGTGAGGGAGAGACGGAACTTCCTGGCTAGGGCCCTGGGTCAGCTGCAGTACCGACGGAAGTGGAGCCACCTCCAGCTCTTGCACACCCAGGTACTGATCCCTGGGCTGGACTTGGCTGAGGAGATCTGTATTTCTGTCTTTGATAGGGGGCATCAGAAAGAGACTCCCAAGGCAACCACGTGGGACAGGTGAGGACCAAGCACGGAACTCAGTGCTGACTATTTCATCCTAGATGATTGCCTCAGGAACCCCTGTGTGTTTGGAGAATTACCCTGGAGACATATTCTATGGAACAGTCACCACTTCTCTCAGGGACCAGGCCGCTGCCTGCCCCCTGTTGATCCCATTCCTGAAGCAGCTCACTGCAGCGCTAGTAGGAGCTCCAGGGCTGGAGGATCAGAGGCTAGAAACAGGTCAGGCTTGTCCCTGTTCCAGCGTTGCCTCCTGCTGCCAGTCCTGGCCATGTTTTGATAGGTCCTAATGCTACACTTAGAATTCCCAGCACCATAGGTGTGTATCCCCAGTAGGTTCTTTAGGAAGAACATTAGAGGAACCCAATGCATTAGTTATTGATTGCCCTGTAAGAAATGACCCCAAAATCTGATGGCTTAAAATGACATTTATTTTCTCACAGTGTCTTTGGGCCAAGAATCTGGGTGCAACTTAGCTGGGTGCCTCTGGCCCAGGGTCTCCACAAGCTACAGTCAAGGTGTGGGCCAGGATTGCAGTCATCTCAAGGCTTGACTGCTGGAGGATTCGCTTCCAAGCTCACTCTTATGACTTTTGGCAGACCTCAAGTCCCTGCAGGCTGTTGGCTAGAGACAATAATTCCTGCTACAAGGACTTCGTGGGCAGCTCACAACATGGCAGCCTGCTTCTCTCAGAGCAAGCAGGCCAGGGAGTGAGAGAGGGCGAGCAAAGTGGAAGCCAACGTCTTTTTTGAGACAGAGTCTGTCTCTGTCACCCAGGCTGGAGTGTAGTGGCGCAATCTCCACTCACTGCAACCTCCGCCTCCTGGGTTCAAGTGATTCTCCTGCCTCCCAAGTAACTGGGATTACAGGTGTGCACCACCATGCCCAGCTAATATTTTTGTATTTTTAATAGAGCAGGGTTTCGCCATGTTGGTCAGGCTGGTCTTGAACTCCTGACCTCAAGTGATCTACCCGCCTCAGCCTCCCAAAGTGCTGAGATTACAGGCATGAGCCACCGTGCCCAGCCCCAGAGTCTTTTTGACTCTTAATCTCAGAAATAACAACCCATCACTTTTGCCATGTTCTATTCATTTGGATGAACCACTAGATCCAACCCACGTGCAAGGGGAGGGAAGTACTCAAGGGCATGGATACACATTAGGGGGTCACTGGGGCCATCTTAGAGGCTTTGACCACAACCCTAGGCCCTTGTCCAAATAACTATTTTATTCCCCTCTGTTCGGATATGATAAAGCTGATGTCATCTGGACTTCACCATTCTTCTCCATCCTGAAGAAAGCAGACATCTGGTCCCAAGCCCAGGGAAAAATCTGGTCCCAAGCCCACAAGGAAAAAGCTGAACTGCAAGAACAAGTATATCACAAACCAGGTAACTTCCTTTTCCCCTGTAGCTCCTGTTTGGGATTCTCACGGGAGGCACTGAAGGTATATGATGGGGTAACCCCCAGGATCTAGGAAGGTTAGAATCCTGCCTTACCAAACATCTCTTTCTCTCTACCCCCACACTAAAGTTCCCCAAGTGATTTTCCCAAATAAGGAATAACAAATAGGAATCAAAGTACCCTTATGACTGTAACTGGGCAAATTTCCAAAAGGGGATTTCCAAAGGCCCCCTGCCTTCCCCACCAAGCACTGAATCTAAATCTTGGGACTTCACCCTCTATCAGCCAGCCACATGTTAGAAGGAGCTAACGTAAAGGTGTGAGGCAGGAAAGGGAAAAAACAAAAAGGGAGAAAAACAGAGGAAATGAACGAAGAGAAGACCTTGCTCCCCAAAGGGACCCCAAATCACTTTACCAATACCACTCCTTGAAATTGGAAGTCAAGAGAGAATGTGGCTTGCCTAACCTGAAGAGCCAGGTCTGCTTCAACTCACACACCTCCCAAGGGGAAGTAACAGAAAATGAATGTGTGCCTTTCAGTAGACCACAATGCAGGCTCCAGGTAAGCACAGCACCATGAACACCCCTGAATTTGAGCAGGGAAGCGCAAACTATGGCCCACAGGCCAACTCCAACCTGCTACCTGTTTTTGCATGGTCCACAAGCTAAGAAAGATTTTACATATTAAAGTGGTTAGAGAAAAAATGACAAAAGAAGAATAAAATTTTTATGGAGTACTTTATAATATGCCACATACTATGCTAACTCTTTAGATGTATTAACTCATTTACTTTTTACAACAAGCCAGTAAAGTAGAAACTATCACTTATCTTTTTTTTTTTTGAGACGGAGTCTCGCTCTGTCCCCCAGGCTGGAGTGCAGTGGCTGGATCTCAGCTCACTGCAAGCTCCGCCTCCCGGGTTCACGCCATTCTCCTGCCTCAGCCTTCCGAGTAGCTGAGACTACAGGCGCCGCCACCTCGCCCGGCTAGTTTTTTGTATTTTTTAGTAGAGACGGGGTTTCACCGTGTTAGCCAGGATGGTCTCGATCTCCTGACCTCATGATCTGCCCGTCTCGGCCTCCCAAAGTGCTGGGATTACAGGCTTGAGCCACTGCGCCTGGCCAGAACTATTACTTATCTTATTGATGAGGGAACTGAAGCTCCTGGATAGGTCAAGAAAGTATTCAAAGATCATATTGCTAGTGAGTAGTTCAGCTGGAATCCAATCCCAAAGACTCTTTCCCCAGACCCTGTGCTCTTCACTTGCTTCCTCAAATGAAAACTTGTTCAACACTATAAAGGCAGTGCCAAAAGAAGATGCAGGTAACACATTTTGGTGAGTTCTCGGGAGGGCAGAGCACTTGCTTTTCTGGACCAGAGAAGCAAGAGAAGGCTTTGTAGGAGAATGAGGCCACACTTCTACCATGAGAATAGGGAACACTAACTTTGAACCCTAATTTTGGGTCTTGGCTAACAACCCTAATTTGGGGCCCTGGCTAAAATACTTGCTATCTGGCCCTTTCCAGAAAAAAGTTTACTGACTCCAGAACTTGACCAATCTCATTATTAATTCCTTCTTTCTTTGGGTGAAACTAGGAAGGGAATGGCAGAGAGATGGACTGTCCTTTAAGGGTTCCCAGCCCCACTTCAACCTTCTTTGTCTTGACATTATACAGGCCTTATAATTTTGAGAGTAATTGTATATACATTATCTTGTTTATATATTCTAGTTCTAGAAGATAGTAGAAGACTATTAATTACTTTTTAATAGATGAGAACTGATGCTCAAAGAAGTTTAGTGACTTTCTTGGGGTCTTATAGAACCTGGACTAGAACACAGGTCTTCTGACTGCTACTTCAGCAGTCTTCCCTAAACTTTGCTACCAATCTATTCTTTACTGCTCTCTGAAGAACAATAAAAAGACAATAGAAATTTTAAATACTCAAGGCCCATTACAGACAATACTGTAGGGAAGTAAGAATCTTAAATATAGTTAACATTTGCTGAATGTTTACTATGTTTACTATGTACTAGACACTGTTCTGAGTACGTTACATTTAATGCTCCAAGCAACTCAAGGAAATAGAAGAAGAAAATCTGTCGCCATCTTCTGTGGACCCTCATTCTGTCCTTGCCCCTCTGTTCCTATTGACTGAAACTCAATCTTTTTTTCCATAAAGATGGACAGAAGAGCCTGTAGCATGACGCATATATAGCACAGGAGGATGGATGGACGGGTGGATGGATGATAGATGGTTGCAATAAACCTTTTCCTAAACTGAGTTGTGTTGTTAACATATCGTTATTGTACAGAAAAGTTAGTGAAATTATTACTGGTTTCTCCCGATCTCTGTAGACCCAAAGAGCTCTTTGCAGGATCTTCCAAAACCTCAGACAGTGCAGAAGGAAGAGTTGATAACTGTGCAACCCATTGACCTTTCTGCCAGGGAGTTTGTGGTTTACCAGTATGGCCTCTCCATTCTGCACCTCCTCATCCCCCAGCTTCATGTAAGTCTTGTTTCTGGCCTCTCTATGGAACAGTTACTCATGGAGCCTAGAAGGTCAGGGTAGCCAGGAAGAAGTCTTTGAGATGGCAGATATTCCCTAGGATTAAGCACCTGGAACAGCAAACTTTCTAGTATCTCCTTTAAGGGGATTAATGGGAGTTATTTTACCAAACTAAAGTCTAATCTCTCGAATGATATTAACCACAGGTAGAATGAATTAGTCACTTTCTACATGCCAGAAAGTATTCTAATAATTTCCATTAATTAATTCACGTAATCCTCAAAAAAACCCTATGACACAGACACTATTATTTTTCCTATTTTAAAATTGAGCAGAGGAGATGGGGTGGTTAAATAAACTTACCCAAGATCACACAGCCAAAAAGGCAGAGCCAAGGTTAAAATCCAGGCATTATGGCTCAAGAGTCCTCTAGTCTAGTCAACCTCTATTTAGAAAAGTAGTAAATTGATTGTCATATTTAGCATAAATATTAAATATGCAGTTAAATACTCTTTCCATTTTCCTGTATACTAAGCCTACTTACCCTGTTGCAATTTAAATTAATGCCCCAATGCATTTACTTCTCATCAATTTGGCTGATGTTACATAGCTGAGATGCATGAGAATTTTTTAGCAAAAAGATAGCTTTGGTTTTGTTTTTATTCTTTTCAGGCTCCAGAAATCACCCTGAAAGTTGCTTCTCATCTTCCTGCCATGGAAGCCCAAGGCAGCACCTTCCAAGGTGCTTTCTTCTATCAGGTGCCGCAAATTCATTCCCAAATGTGGGTTATAAAATTCTAGGGTCCAGTACAGATAAATGAAAGCAAAAAGAACAAATTTTATAATTTTTTTTCTAAAATCCTGATATATTTTATTCCCTCCTGGAAATAAGTAATTTAGCTAAGGCATAATAAATGTCACAGTGTAAGAGCTTTCTCTAATCAGTAAAATGAATATGTTCTGGCTTGTGCCCAGAGAAGCATAATAGCTTGGTACCCATTAATAGATCTCTGTCATTATCAAAGCCAGAGGTTCCAGGCTGGTATTTCCTGTAAGAGTCGTGGTTCTAGCTTCAGGAATTCCTGCACAATCAGCATCTTTCTACAGAAAAGGATCTAAATTGTTCCTGTCCTGGCAGTTCTTCAGATATGTAGGTTAGAAGTGCCTTGCTGGTATCTGCCTTAAACACTGATGACCGTCTATTGCTAAACAATTCTGAGAGGCGAAACTGCTCATCGATACTGGAGGATTAGAAAAAGGTTTATACCTGACTAGTAGGTTGTTGGGGGATTTAATAAAACCAGAAAATACTCACATATGGCACTCTCTACACATTATTTCACTTGATCCTCAAACAACTCGATGAAATAGATGAGAATTTAATCCCATTTTACAGATGAGTAAACAAACTCAGGTTGTGGTGCAAGTGCCGTGTGCCAGGAACTCAGCCGGGTGCCTTGCAGGCATGGTCTCATTTATAACTCACAACACTATGGGGTACTTTTGTTATCTTTGTTTTAGAAAGTAGGACATTGAGGCCCAGAGAGGCCAAGTAACTTCCTCAGGATCACAGAGTTAGCAAGAGTTAAGACTCAAGCCCAGGTGTGTTTGACATCAAAAACTCATTCTTATAACCGTGAGTCTATGCGGCTGCCACTCACAGCTGAGTCAAAGGACAAATCTCAGATTGTCTGATTCCAAACTACCTAAAAGTTTTTTCATGCCAACCAACTGTCCCTTAAGAGAATGAACAGGAAAGTTATTTCCAATCAATAGGCAAGAGAGGTGATTTGAAAACTTGATTACAATAAAGGCATGGAAGATGAAGAAAGCCTTGAGAGCCCTCTAAGGCAGTGATTCTCAAACTACAGTCCTTAGACCTCCTGTACCAACCACTTGGGGAACCTGGGAAAAACGGAAGTACATAGACCCCACAGAACCAGGAATTTGTGGATGGGTCTCGAGAACAGAATCACCCCCTTGTGATTCCTATTACACACAAGTTTGAGAATCACTGCTTAAGGAAACAGTGATTGGGGGATATTGATAAAAGAGATACACAAGCAACTCTGAATTTCTAAGTTTGTTTTCTATAAGATGGAGACAGTAGGGAAAATTGGGGAGACAATGGAGCAAATGACTTATTCAGAGAATTGAACTCAAACAATTTTTCCCTGGTCATCTGAATCTTCCCCTTAGTAAATTTCCATTAGGGCCAGAGAGTCTTGTTTTAGACCATGTGCCATAAATCTTGAGAAAGAAAGAGGCAGTGGGAATGTTCCCAGGGGCGGACATCTCAGCGTTTAGGTGTTTTCTCCTCTCAGAGTGCTGAAAACACACTGTTCATTGGGAGAGAGTGTTTGGCCTCTGTGGGAAGCTTTGTTCTGCTGCTGATCCGCTGCCTGGCCCACATCATTGCTGGGGAACCCCACCAGGACTCCGACCCTGCCTTTCTGGGGTCATTTTACAAGGTATTTATAACATGTACAGGGCATTTTGCTTCTCTTTCTCTGTGACTCAGACCCCGTTCCCCAGGAGAATAAATGCTTTAGGCTTTGCAACATTTCAAATCTACTGGAGTCCCATTGTAGCCTTTGGTTCCTCCTGCCTGGCCAAGAAGAGGATTTTCCTAATCAGATTTCCCGTGGCAGCATATGACAAAATGCACGTACCACTGATTCACGGAAGTGGTTCTCCTATGAGCACAGCATCTCAGCTTTCTGTGGCTGTTTAACAGTTCACACATAAACCGCACCAGAACTGCTAAAGACAATGATAATCCATGGTGAGGGCAAGTGAAGATGAGAACTCTCAAGCCCCATTTTTCTTTCAACTATTATTTTAAAGCTTTAATAGCAGTTGTCTAGAAGTCCTACTGATCTGTCTCCCTCGCCTTCTCTTCCCTTGACCAAGGGCCTGGAGGCCTATTTCAGGGAAGCATTCTCTATTACACTGAGAATGTCAGCGGTTTCCAGGGACAGAAAACTTGACCAAAGCATAAGTGCTATCCTGCTGGAAGAACAGCCCATCTCTGACAGAGAAAGAGATCTTCTGTCTAAACTCATTGAAATGAAGCATGCATTTCCCTTGGAGCCAGAATCACTAGAAGAGGTAACTAACTTTATCACGTGTATCACATGGCCTTGACTAAAATGGACCTCTTCACAGAGTAAATGCCTCAGTGTATTCAGATATTTCTGACCTCAAGCCACATATGACAATATTTTTTGTTTTGAGACAGGGTCTCGCTCTGCTGCCCAGGCTGGAGTGCAGTGATGCCACTACAGCTCACTGCAGCCTCGGACCTGCTGAGCTTAAGCGATCCTCCCACTGCACCCTTCTGAACAGGTGCACGCCACCATCCCAGAAAATTTTCATATTTTTTTGTAGAGACAGGGTTTTGTCAGGTTGCCCAGGCTGGTCTTGAACTCTTGGGCTCAAGCAATCCACCTGCCTCAGTGTTTCCAAAGTGCTGGGATTACAGGCGTGAGCCATGGCATCTGACCTCATGACAATATTTTTAAAATCCTGTTCTATAGGGCAGACAGTAGTTACATGACTGAGTCATAAGAAGTACAAATGTGAGCTAACTTCATGTTTCTCTAACATATTATGAATAATTAAGCAGAATCCCATCTGTAAAACTGTGACTCATACTAAGTTTAGATGCCCAAGTGACACCTTGTTTACCCAAACTTACGGTGTGCTGTTTTCTGTGCAAGCTTGATAATTATATTCTTAAGATCTTGTTAAAGCACTTTTGCCAGGCGCAGTGGCTCACACCTGTAATCCCTGCACTTTCGGAGGCTGAGGCAGAAAGATCACTTGAGCCCAGGAGTTTGAGACCAGCCTGGGCAACACTGTGAGACCCCATCTCTACAAAAATAAAAATAAATTAGCTGGGCATGGTGGCACATACCTGTAGTCCCAGCTACTCAGGAGGGTGAGGCAGAAGGATCCCCTGAGCACAGGAGTTTGAAGCTGAGGCTGAAGTAAGCTATGATCGCACCACTGCACTCTAGCCTGGGCAACAGAGTGAGATCCTATCTCAAAAAATACAATAAAACACTTTTTTGAAAATATCTCAGATTTTAACTATTAAAAATAAAAATCATAAAATTTAAGTATATGACAAGAAAAATATCATCCTGCACTAAAGGTCAATTCATTCTTATGAACAAGAGCATATCGTGCTTCAATATTTATATCAAACTACAATTTTCAAAGCCATTTTTATATATAGTGTCACTTGATCCACCCAGCAATCCTGCAGAGTAGGTAGTGTCTATACTTTTAGCCACACTATTGAAAAAGAAGATAAGGAATTTGCCCAAAGTTATAAAGCTATTTGTAGTGGTGGATCTGAGACTAGATTCTAGACTTCCTGATTCCTGCTAACTGTCCCATACACATATCTCCATCATTGAATCTCTATTAGTTACTAAGACAGATTTATTTTGTGGGTTTGATAATGATGTTGGTCATCCGGACCACAGAATTCTGTTAGACCCCAATTTCCACAAATCGCAGAGAACAGTCCATTTCCTGTGCTCATCCATCAGCAGCATTTGACATATCTGACCACATTCTCCTCCTTGACGTATTTTCTTCATTTGGCTCCCAAGACACTGGCCTCCTCTGGTTTTCCTCCTACTTCTCTGATTGTTCCTTCTCAGTCTTCTTTGCTGATCCCCCTTCTTTTCTCTGGCCTCTTAATGTTGGAGGGCCAGGACTTAGTCCTGTCCCCTTCTCCAGTTTATATTTTCTGTCCTTAGAGGTCTCTTTTAGTCTTCTGGCTTTAAATCTCATCTATGTCAATGACCCTCAAATTTCTGTCTTCAGCCCCAATTCTCTAACTCATACCTCCAACTATTTATTGGCCATCTCCACTTGACTGTCTCAAACTCAACATGTCCAAAACCCAATTTTTAATTTCTTTCCAAACCTGCTCCACTCAAAACCTTCCCCCATCTCAACTGATGGAAACTCTATTCTTCAGGTTTTTCAGGCCAAAGCATCCTTGAAACTCATCTGTTACACACACCCACAACCAATCCATCAGAAAATCCTGTTGTTCTACCTTCAGAGCATATCCAGAATCCGACCACTGCTCATCAACTACAATACCACCCTTGTGCAAAGGCCACCATTGCCTCTTGCCCGGATTACTATAATACTTACTAATGGCTTCCTCAAGCCCACCCTTGTTTCTCTTCAGCCTACTCTCAACACAGCAAAGTGATCCTTTTAAAATGGAAATTGGATCTGCTCAAAATCTGCTGTATCTCCCCAATTCACTCAGAGCAAAAGCCAAATAATATTGACATAAGGCTTTATATCTCACTCTCCTACCTACTACCTTTCCCCTCATTCACTAAATTCCAACCACACACTTTCCCCCTCACTATTCTAGCACACTGGGGACACTGCTCCCAAGGGTTCCCTGTGCCTGGAATAGTCTTTTCCCTAGGGCAGTGTTTCTCAACCAGGAGGAATTTTGGTCCCCCATGGGATATTTGGCAATACCTGGAGATGTTTTTGATTGTCGTGACTCAGGGGAGGGGGTTGCCACTGACAACTAGTGGGTAGAGGTCAGGGACGCTGCTAAACAGCCTACAATGCATGGGACAGCTCCCAGAGCAAAGAGTTACTCATCCCAAAATAGTGCCAATCCTGGTCTACCCCTGACTCCCTTACCTCCTTCTCATCTTTGTTCAAATATCACCTTCTCAATAAGGCCTACCCTGACTATCCAATCTTAATTTGCAACTCTTTTCCCCTACTCAGCAGCTTTCCCTGAATTTTTCCTATATCCTTTCCTAACATACTACATAATTTACTTGTACTTGTTATTACTTTCCCTCCTCAGCTAGAATGTAAGCTCCATGAGGGCAGAGATGTTTGTTTCATTTCCTGATGTAGGCCATGTGCCAGGCTCACAGTAAGCTTGAGATGTATTTACTGTGTTAATGAACAAGTAGATGTATATGGGCCCTGATGCAATATACCGAAACCACAATCTACCTGAGCTAACTATAAGACAGATAATAGCAAACATCTATTACATGCTTGCCATGTGCCACATGCCATGTTATGATTGAGAGTTTTACATACATGATCTCATTTAATCTTCTCATGCTCTTATAAGGTGGAAGCCACTCTTATTTCTAACTTATAGATGAGGAAACCAAGGCCTAGAAGTGTAAAAACAAAAACAAAAACAAAACCACCAAACTTGCCTAAGACGTAGCAATAGTTGTGGAGCTGGAATGTTTGTCCTCTGGCAACCACCATCTATGAAGAAATATTGCTTTAATTTAAAAGCAAAATTGTACATAGTACTGTCAGGTCCACATTCTGGCTAACAAGATCCAAGGGCACTTAAAATAAATGGAAACCAGAGTATTAACACTGTCTTCCACATTCTCTACAGTATATTCAGAAAAACAAAGATCTTCTGCTCTTCACCAATATGGAACATTTCCTAAAAAGCATCCTCGCCACAGAACAACAAATCCTAAGAAAACCAAGAAATCAATTTGGGAGTGAAGATAAGGTGAGATACCCTTATGATCAATAGCATTAAGATAACAATTAGCTATATGCCAACTATTATTTATTATTGTGTTTGGGCCATATTTATAATTGAACAGAATAAAAGGTTGGAAATTAGTGATGGTATGAACAAGTGACATCACTTCCCTTAAGAGCTTCCCCAATACGAACAGAGGGTGGATCTTATATTTCAGAAAGGATCCAAGAGAGCATAGAGCATTGGTCATCAGGGAAATTTAAAACTGCATTGAGATAATGCACGCCAGAAAAATGAAAATAGTAAAAAAGAAGATGTAGTTTAAAGCATAGTTTATCCCTTTCCCTTCAGGCAGGTAACATATTAATCCTAGAGAGAAGGAACTGAGGATCAGACTTGCCCCCATTCATCAAGCTGGAGGAGAACAAAAAGTAGCTAGAACATGGGTCCACTGGCTTCTCATTCAGGGTTTCTTCCACTATACCACAACGATACCAACTGCTGTTTTACAAAAGCTTATTTTTAATCCTAAGAACTTAAAATGTGGCATCTTTAAAAATCAAATGTTTTGGTTCCAAATCATCACTAATATTTTGTAAGGTCAATGGATAATATTAGCAAACAGAGAACCCCAAAGTCTTCATCTTCCTCATGCACAGTGGGGACCTATCATGTCAAGATCAAGATCAGAAACTAGCAACCTAGAGAAATAACCAGGCACTGACTCCTCCTGGGCCCCAATCCACTTAATTTAAAGTTACTGCCAGTGTCTGGGATGAAAACTTTTAAACCTTTATTAAAATAACAGCTTTAAAAGGTGAACAGATAATAAATGTGTAACTCAACAAATTGTCCAATGTGAATACTACCATATAACCAGCCCCAGATCAAGAAATAGAACATTACCGGTTCTCCAGAAGCAGCTTATGCCTCCTTCTAGTCACTTGTTCCAAGACAGAGGAACCACCATCCTGACTTCAAATACCATCAATAGTTTCTGCTTATTCATGAACTTCATATAAATAGAACCATAAGATATGAGTTACTTTATTGCTTATTTTGTTCCACTTTCTGAGATTCATCCACATTGTGGGAGGTAGTTATAGTTTGTTCATTCTCTTTGCTGTAAACTATCCCATTGTGTGGATACATTACTACTTACTCATTCAACTGTTGATGCATATGTGGCTATTTTCCAGTTTGGGATTATTACAAACAGTCTTGCACACCTTCTGGTGATGATACATAACTATATTTATCCAGGTACATACTTAGGACTAGAAATCCTGGGTCTTAGGACACGGATATGTTCAGTGTTAGCAGATACTACCAACTAGAGTTCCAAACGATCTACTGCTGCCAACAGTGAAGGGTTCTGGTTGCTTTCCGTTTCTATCAGCACTTAGTATTTTACATCTTTTTTACTGTTTTCAGTTTTCTGGTGTGTGGTATCTCAATGTAGTTTTAAATTTCCCTGATGACCAATGAAACTGAGCATCTTTCATGTTGATATACCATTTAGATACTGTCTCTTGTAAAGTGCCTAATCCAGTCTTTTGCCCATTTTCCATTAGATTGTGCCTATTTTTTTTCTTTTTTGTTTCTTTCATATTTATGCATTTATAAAACATATATTGATATCGACTATGTGCCACATACTGGGTTTTTTTCCCACTGGAATCAAGTTTGTATTAACAATCAAAATCTGTACCCTTGTATTGCTTACTTCTCTTGGGAGAAGGGAGTGAGACAATGTACAAATAAACACATAGTGTGTCAGTTTAGAATAAGTCCCATAAAGATAAATGCAACAAGTTGAGGGAACAAAGAGTGATGGGGTGCAGGGCTGCCCTGTTGTATATAGTTATCAGCGAAGACCTCGTTGAGACTTGACAGCTTGCTGGAGAATGGGAGCCACTGGTATAGCTAGGGGAAGAACATTTCACATGAAGGCAATGGCTAAAATGAGGACTTGAGGTAGAAGATGAGGTCAGAGAAGGGCCTGGGACCAGGTAACTCAGGGTCTTGTGCTCGGAACTTGTTTTATCAGGACGAAAATGTAAATTAAACCTGTGTGTATGTTAGCAGAGAAATTGAACTTAGATTCTTAAAAGGATAACCCTGGCTGCCTCTTTTTTTTTTTTTTTTTTTTTAAACAGAGTTTTGCTCTTGTTGCCCAGGCTGCAGTGCAGTGGCACGATCTCGGCTCACTGCAACCTCCACCTCCCAGGTTCAAGCAATTCTCCTCCCTGAGCCTCCTGAGTAGATGCGATTACAGGTGCCCACCACCATGACCAGCTAATTATTTTGTATTTGTAGTAGAGATGGGGTTTCATCATGTTGGCCAGGCTGGTCATGAACCCCTGACCTTGGGTGATCCACCTGCCTCAGCCTCCAAGTGCAGGGATTACAGGCATGAGTCACCATGCCCAGCCAGCTGCCTCTTAAGCAATGAGTCCAGTATTACAAGTTTGGACCTAAAAAGATTAGAAAATATAAGTCCAGGCTAGGCATGGTGGCTCACACATGTAATCCCAGCACCTCAGCAGGCTGAGGTGGGCGTATCACTTGAAGCCAGGAGTTCGAGACCAGCCTGGCGAACATGGTGAAACCCCGTCTCCGCTAAAAAAAAAAATCAAAAAATTAGCCAGGTGTGGTGGCACATGCCTGCAATCCAGGCTCCTGGGGAGGCTGAGGCAGGAGAATCTCCTAAACTCGGGAGGAGGAGGCTGCCGTGAGCCGAGATCAGACCACTGCACCTCAGCCCGGGTGACAGAGCCAGACTCTGTCTCAAAAAAGAAAAGAAAATATAAGTCCTACAAGATGCATGCAAGCAGGCTCATTGCAGCAAATCATGGATTCCTGATCAGCATCTTATTTTTTTTTATTTAGATAAGGATTTATTATTGTGTTAAATAATAACATAAGAAAATTTATTTAAAGTACTACACATATATGGTTAAAATAGAACTACATGACAATAGGAAATGAACGGATGAAACGAACAAACCTTATTTTAAAACACTGAAAAAAATGAATAAAAATATCATATATCTTCTGGTCCAAAGGTAACTGTAAAACATAAAGAACAAAATTCCAAAAAAGGTAACAGGTAAAGTAGCCATAAGAGATCTGGGACAATAGACAGGATTAAATTATGTAGATATGCAAGGTAATCAACAGAAAAGAAATGTAAGCCTCTTTTGAAATTCAAACATAAAGAGTCCTTCTCTGAAAGTGCACAGAATATCTAATTTTCTCTTTCTGACAACTTCTTTAGAAACCCTATTAATGTCACTTTCAGAAATTCTATGCCGGACCGACCTTATATACAAACACAATTTTAAAATTCTTTTTAAAGTAAGAGGGAAAAGAGACAGAAACTATGGCATCACTTAGTAAAGCACCAATATCAAAGTGAAAAATAAGTTGGGATATACCCAAAGGATTATAATAAAAAATATATATTGATGAATAAAGCAAATGTGGGCTTAAAATGCCAACTTATTTTTCACTTTTTTTTTCTTGTTGATTTGTAGGAATTATTTATTCTGCAACTATTTCCCCCATTTTGTGGACTGTCTTTTTATAAAAATAACCATATAATGTTTATCTTTTTCCATTTTATTTTTAGATCTAGAAAGAAAATGGTAATCCCATTTCAGTCTGCATGATTAAAAGGTCTTAAATACATCAGTACAACATCTGATGAAGCTGATAAGAATTACTGGAAAATCTATAATATTCATGGTAAATCACATAAATAATGTGTATTACAGTTTTAGGTGTATATATAATAGGGGCTAATATTTGCCACAGAAGTTGAGGACCCCTGCTCACTGTGACTAAAATTTTCACTGTGACTAAAAGATCATCAGATCACATATCTTATTAAAATAATTATTAAATATATTGACTAAAACTCTTTCTAAGAATGTAAAACATATATGTCATTATTCAGTCAGGCTAAGGTTGTCTATTACTGAATCACAAAGTAGATGGATATATGTATACAATATTTGGTGATCTAGAATGTGTACTTAAAATATAAGCCATGTCACACAAAATTCATTTTGGAGGCCCTGGTTGAAACACCACAAAGAGATAAGCAGTCATATGAAAGTGAAGTTTTGGAGTGCTGATCAGGAGAAACAGCACCATTACTGGGCACGGTGGCTCAAGCCTGTAATCCCAGCACTTTCGGAGGCCGAGACGGGCGGATCACGAGGTCAGGAGATAGAGACTATCCTGGCTAACACGGTGAAACCCCATCTCTACTAAAAAATACAGAAAAAAAAAAAACTAGCCGGGTGAGGTGGCGGGCGCCTGTGGTCCCAGCTACTCGGGAGGCTGAGGCAGGAGAATGGCCTAAAATCCGGAAGGCGGAGCTTGCAGTGAGCTGAGATCCTGCCACTGCACTCCAGCCTGGGTGACAGAGCGAGACTCCGTCTCAAAAAAAAAAAAAAAAAATCCAAATACACACTTCAACTCAAAAGCCTGCTCAGATTACAAAGCCAATGATTGAAATTCAAACTGCTTCTCACATGGATAATTATCTTTATTGTGCCCTATATTTATCTGTTCTCATGTTGCTAATAAAGACATGCTTGAGACTGGGTAATTTACAAAGGAAAGAGGTTTAATTGACTCACAGACCCACATGGCTGGGGACACCTCACAACCATGGCTAAAGGCAAATGAGGAGCAAAGTCACATCTTACATGGCAGCAGGCAAGAGAGCCTGTGCAGGGGAACTCCCATTTATAAAACCATCAGATCTTGTGAGATTTATTCACCACCACAAGAACAGTATGGGGGAAACCACCACTCATGATTCAGTCACTTCCACTCAACCCCAAGGAAGGGTCTCTTAACACATAGAGATTATTACAATTCAAGGTGAGATTTGGGTGGGGACACAGCCAAACCATATCATGCACCAAGAGAAGTACCAGAATAGATACACACACACACACACACACACACACACACACACAAAAATAAAACATTTGTTAACAAGTATCCTAAGCAATGCAAGGAAGATAGACTACTAAAGAATTAAAACTTTCTTTTTAAAAATATTATTTGGGTAGATAATGAATGATAACTAATTTATGAATTCAGTGTCCATCTGGTATTCAACATTTTTAGCTCTGTAGGTCTTTTGTCATAATTAAGAGGCGTCCATACATGGCTGAGGATTTAGCTGTCAGTCCAACTGATGAAAATACTAATAGTAGATTACTTTCAAGAAAATAAAATAAAAACACTGAAATAACATGAAAAGAAGATTTACAATTAAGTTAAACAAGGATTTTTAAATCAAGCCATCAGGAACATCTGCTCAGAATCAACTCACTATATCTAACTCCTCTATTTTGAGTTTTTTCGTTGTAGAATTGGCTACTTAGTCATCTTAATTCAGTTTACATAGTTAGATTAGTCATCAGGTAAGTACCAAATTTGACGGCCTTAAAAATACCTCACTAGTTACCATTTTGATTGAAATCGTGCTTTCATGGCACAGATACTAATAAAATGGTAAAATAGTCATTGCCCATAAGAGTGGCTATAAGGGAGCTGTCCTCCCATTTATTCCATTAACAGGAAATTCTTAAACAGAGCACATCCTCAAACCAATGCATAACTTTATAAGATTAAAGACTCTAGTATTTTGAGAAGAAGGCAAGTCTTAGTTTGATTTGATTAATATTGGGTATGTGTCTTCAAGAACTTTATTTAGCTACCCACATAAATTACGAAATGTATTTCCCAGAAAGCAGAGTGAAGATTAATTAAGCCTGACACACAAGATTGTTTAGGATAGTTAAGCCAAGAGTCCAGGGCCTCTGGGAGAGATGGCAAAGAAAAAGTAGTACAGAACTTAAAGACCTTTTTTCTATATTCCTCATTCTTGGCTGATCAAGGAATCTACCAGGACATGATCCTATTAATTTCCTGGCTGACTTCTTGGGCCCTCCATCTTATTTTCATTAATACACTAACAGCTGCAGGCTTTTAGTAAGCATATGCTTTTTAATGGAAATGCCACAGATTACAAAACAGGGATCATGTTCTCCTTACTGCTGCATTATGCATTTTTATTGCTGAATCAAATCAATAGCAAGTTCTTTTTTAAAACTGACATTCTGGTTATCTTTAAGGAACAAGCTTGTGTACACACACATACAGCCCACTGACTAGAAAAGAGATAAGAAAACCTCAATAAATGTAGAAGTCATATTGACCAACTATTATCAAAAAAGACCCTTATCCAAAAATATATTCAATTGTCTTAAGATTTATTATTTCAAAAGTGATACATAGAATTCTATCTTTGAGGAAGATGGAACAGGCATTTTTTCTCTACTCCTCCCACTAAGAACAACTAAAATCCCTGGACAATACACATAAAAGAAAGAAGAGAAGATTCTAAAAGGTATAGAGAAGAAGGCAGACTGGCTAGGGAACCTCAGATTCCAAGGGAGGATATGGAGGTGAGTTCTACAGATTTTCTTTCCCCACAGTATATTCCAGACTTGGAAATAAAAAAGCCAGCAACCCATAAACACCAATGGTAACAGACCAAAAGAGACCACAAAAGCCTGCTCTTTAGCCAAAGGACCAGGAAAGGGACAGCGCAGCAAAGAAGAAAACTTTAACAAAAAATCCTATACACTAGCAAAACAGCAAGAAAAAACTGGCCCCACCCACACCAGCATAAGTTGAATGGGGAGTCTAGAGCTCCATCTTTGCCAGGATGGATCAAGTCATCCCAACCTCCTGCTGGGTTGGTATGAGAGAAGACCGAGCAGAGAGCTGGGAATTTTCATCACCACAGGGGAGATCCAAACCCTCTTCCACTTCATGGTATCAGTAGAAACCACATAGAAAGTCTGGACATCCCCACACCTGGCAGTAATAACCTCTCCCCTCCCCGCTGCTGCCACCACCACCACCTCCCTGCTGTAGTGGAATCAGAGGAGGACAAGTAGAGAGTTAGGACTTGTGCTACTGTCCATTGATAATGAGGACACCCTGGCCACAGTGTTAGTGGAAGCCACATGAGGAGCTAGAACTCCCATATCAGTCCAGCAGTAATGAGAGACCCTTTCTTGGGTATTAATGGAGGCCAAGAGGGAAACCCGGACTTTTGCTTCCACTAGGAGGTAGCAAAGCATCACTCCCTTCTCTCCCCCACTGGAATAGGGTCAAAGGAAACCAGTTGAAACAAAGTTTAAATAAAATCCCAAGTCTCATAATATCAAAAGTGTCCAGATTTGGATCAAAAATCACTCATCATACTAAAAACCAGAAAGATAAGCAAAGAGTGGGGAGAAAACCTAATCAACAGATTACAACACCAATATGACAAAGATGTTAGAATTATGACAAAGATTTTAAAGAAGCATCAGAAAAGTGCTTCAATAAGCGATTATGAACATGCTTGAAACAAATAAGTCTCAGCAGCAAATGGTAAAGTCACAGCAAAAAAATAGAAGACAGAACTAAATGAAAGTTTTAGAAATGAAAAATGTAAAAACTAAAATATAAAGCTTGGTGGATAGGCTCAACAGTAAAATGGAAGGGATAGAGGAAAAACTATCAATGTTTTTAGACAGAACAAAATTATTTTATCTGAATGAAAGAGAAAAAAGACAGGAAATGAATGAACAGAGCACCAGGGGCATATGGTACTATAGCAAAAGATGGAGCATTCAAGTAATCAAAGACTCAGAAAGAGAAAAGAAAGGGACAGACTGAAAAAATAACACTCAGAGAATGGCTGAAAACTTTCCAAATTTGGAAAGAGACATAACCCTACAGATTTAAAAAGCTGAACGAATCCCAAACAGGAAAACCTAAAGAAATCCACACCCCCATATCATAATTAAATTTCTGAAAACAAAAAGCAAGAAAAAATCTTGAAAGCAGCCAGAGAAAAATGACACTCTACCACCAGAGGAAAAACAACTGGAATGACAGCAAGCTTCTCATCAGAAACCAGGAAGCCAGGAAGAAGTGGCACATATTTTTCTAATGCTGAATGAAAAGAGCTGTAAACCCAAAATTCTTTTTTTTTATTATCATATCTGGCTAAAAAGCTTTGCACAGCAAAGGAAATAACAAAGTGAAGAGACAACTCACAGAACAGGAGAACCTATTTACAAACTACCCATCTGACAGGTATTAACTAACAGAATATATAAGAAGCTCAAACAACTCAATAGGAAAAAAAAAATCCAAATAGGCATTTCTTTTGTTTTCTTTGTTTTTATTTGGCTCAGAAGGTACTGAATAGAGATTTCTTAAAAGAAGACAAACAAGGCCAGGTGCGGTGGCTCAAGCCTGTAATCCCAGCACTTTGGGAGGCTGAAGTGGGTGGATCACCTGAGGTTGGGAGTTTGAGACCAGCTTGACCAACATGGAGAAACCCCATCTCTACTAAAAATACAAAATTAGCCGGGCGTGGTGGTGCATGCCTGTAATTCCAGCTACTTGGGAGACTAAGGCAGGAGAATCACTTGAACCCAGAAGGCAGAGGTTGTGGTGAGCTGAGATCACACCATTGCACTCCAGCCTGGGCAACAAGAGTGAAACTCCATCTCCAAAAACAAACAAACAAACAAACAAACAAAAACAAATGGCCAACAGGTATATGAAAAATAAATTCAGCATCACTAATCAGAGAAACACAAATCAAAACTACAATGAGATATCATCTCACCCCATTAACATGGCTTACATCAAAAAGACAAGTAATAACAGTTGCTGGTGAGGATGTGTAGAAAGGGGAACCCTCATACACTGTTGGTGGGAATGCAAACTCACACAGCCACTATGGAGAACAGTATGGAGGTGCCTCAAAAAACCACGAATAGAACTACCGTATGATCCAGCAATCCCACGACTAGATACATATCCAAAAGAAAGGAAAACATTATATCAGAGACATATCTGCACTCCCCTGTTTATTGCAACCCTATTGACAACAGCTAACATATGGAATCAACCTAAGTATCCATCAACAGATGAATAGATAAAGAAAATGTGGTACATATACACAATGGAATATTATTCAACCATAAAAAAGAATAAAATCCTTTATAAAAAAAGAATAAAATCCTGTCATTTGCAACAACATGGGTGGAACTAGAGGATATTAAGTGAAATAAGCCAGGCACAGAAAGACAAATATTATATGTTCTCATTCATACATGGGAGTGAA